ATAATAATAATAATAATAATAATAATAATAATAATAATAATAATAATAATAATAATAATAATAATGATAATAATAATAATAATAATAGTAGTAGTAGTAGTAATAGTAGTGGTGTTAATAGTATTAGTGGTAGTAATATTAGTAATAGATTGTCACCAACGTCACCTCCTATAATTGGTGGTAGTAGTAGTAATAGTAATATTAGCAGCAGTAGTAATAATCAAAGCCATGATATTGGTATAAATATTTTACCCAGAGTGCAATCAATGGGCTGGAAGAAGTCTATAAATAGTTCACAAGATTATGTTGTACTTGACAAGGAAAGCTACAACAACAAAGAAAGTTACAACAGCAATTATAGTTTTAATAGCAAAGAAAGCTATAATATCAAGGATGCATTTAATTTTAATAACAAGGAAGGCTATAATGAAATTCAATATTCGCCTCCTTCATCTATCACACTTTCACCTTCAACTCCAACATCAATGACATCAACACATTCAGTAGACTTAAAACAAAAAAAAAGGAAAAGTTTTGATAAATTCAAACTTTTTAGATCTTCTTCAACTGAATGTGTTGAAACAATTCACACCACCAATCCCCATCATCATCATCATCGCTACAACACTGACCCTTATAGTGATGACTTGGCCTCAATTTCAATTTCAATTTCAAATACAAAATCAACAGCATCAGCTGATCCAAATTCAAGTTCAAATTCATTTTTCAATAAAAATCAACCAAAGATAATTCAAGCAGCACGTTATTCAACAGCAGAGAAGATCATAACAGTTTTTCTTGGATTGAAAAATCAAAAAATAAATATTTTAAGCAGAGATATTTACAAGAGAAAATCAGCAATTCATTGTCTGGCATGGAATGATGATTTGTTCAACATGGGAATTTCTTTAAGACAAACTTTTTCAAGACACGAAAGCTTTCGTAATGCAATAAAATGGTTAATCTCAAACAATGTTGATATAAATTCTGTTGACAATTTTGGTTGGACAGCTTTGCATGAAACTATTTGGAAAAGAAAAGATCCAGGTGCAATATCAGCTCTATTGGAGAATAATGCAAACCCTAATCTGGCAGATTGTACAGGTGCAACACCTTTACACCAGTGTTTTATGCTATTGAAATTTTCTAAGAACCAAACTGAAATTCAACAATTATCAAATATCATCAAATTATTACTACATTTTGGTGCTGATCCAAATCTAAGACTGCCTGACAATTCAATAACAGTTTCGGGTACTGTATTGCCAAACAGTTTATTTGCTGCCATATATTTAGATTTAGAACCAGATATTGTTGAGTTGATTTTGAAAAAAGGTGGTCAAGACATACTTCTAGCTAAATTTAAAGGTTTACTTCTGTTAGATTTTGCTTCCAAGATTAAGAACACAAATGCAATAAAGTTTTTCTCTGAAAATAGACATTTACTTAATAATAAAAGACTCAATTTTAATAAAAGAAATAGTGGTAATAATAGTGTTAAATCAAAATCCTCCTTATCATCTTCAATAACCTCTCCCATAAAAATAGAAAAATCTTTAAAAAATAAATTTAACATTGCACATTCTAGATGAGCTTTTTTTTCTTATTTATTTTGTAGAATTATGTATGTATGTAATTAATTAATTCATTAATTAGATTTTCTTAAATCATTTATAATAACTTTTTGAATTTACTCATCATCATCATTATTAGATCAAATAAACATGTTGAATTTCAATAATTGTGATCTCACATAACTTTTAATTATTCAATATCCTCCATAGAGAGTAATTAGAGTAATGAATCCAAATGTACATACAAATTTATCTTAATTTGCCTTGCTTTAGCTTTAGCCTGACCAGCATTTGAGCCTTTTCTTTTTTTTAAATGTTGAAGAATTTCTTATATTTTAATTGCTTTTTTTCAAGCTCTAAATAGTTGTGTATTTCCTTTATCTCCAATCTTTATCCTTTTCAGTTCTTTAATTGTTGATATTGCTAATCCTTATTTGCCTCTTGTAATTAGCTCATGACTTTGTTTCTGTCTAATAAAGTTTTCACAATTTTCCTTATTTCGTTTTTGGCTTACATCTTGTTGACTATTCTCCATCATAACAATTTGATTATTGATGACATGTTTTTGAGAAAAAATCTTTCAATATTTCCTTTATATTTTTTTAAATTTTTATAATCATTCTCATTAAACTCTAAATCATTTTGATGTTCAAAATATTCAATCAATGTATCTACTGCTTTCAAAGCATCTTCATTGGTTGCAATGACTTTCAGTTCATCAATATCTTCACCTTCTGATTCATTATTTACATTGTTTGCTTCATCCAAAACCATTTGGACTATTTCATCATCATCTAAAGGCTTTTCTGTCAAACTCAATTCATTATCATTGACATATTCCAAAATTTCCAAATCATCACTAAGATCTGATTGATTTAAAGATTCAATTATTCCATCAGTGGTAGCTTGTTCTATTTCAATTGCTTCTTCATTGGTAATTGGAAAAATTCCTGTTTTTTTCCAACAATTAACAATTGTATTTTATTTGACAGTACTCCATGCTTCACCAATAAAATCGATTGCTTCTTTTATATTCAATTTCTATATTAAAAAAAAGTGTAATTAAAATAAATAAAATTAAATTTATAAAAAAAAAAAGAATAAACCAACTTTTCAAAATTTTGTCCAAGTTCAAATTTTCTAATAAGGTCACAAATATATAATTGCTTGTAATTGACCTAAAGTAATAATAACAATTTTATTTGATTAAATACACCCAATGTATCTACTTATCATAATGTATTTGTGTCCATAGGCGAATTTGTATTATCATTATTTATAAACCATAGAATATTACCTTAAAATTATTGATGATTCCAGCATCCATAGGTTGTAAATGAGCAGTTGTATTTGAAGGCAGAAAATAGATTTTAATATTGGTTAAACGTAAATCATTTATTTCATTATAACCTTCAGGTTGTTCATCTAAGATTGATCCTGGATCCACATGGAATGGTGCATTGTCAATTAGAAGCAGAATATGTTTTCTTTCTCTTTGAAATTGATTATCCAAATTTCATAACCAATCTTCAAAAATATCACTGCACATCCATGCTTTTGGAGTAGACTTGTAAATAACAGGTAACAAAGACATATTTACATTTTTGAAACATCTTGGGTTGACAGACTTTCCAATTACAATTGGTTTAAGTTTTCTTGTACCAGTTGCATTAGTTGTTAATAACACTGTCAATATTTCTTTATTCTTTTATAAATTTTAACAAAAAAAATTATTTAACTTCATTAAATTAATTAAATCAAGTTAGTTTCTATCATGCAACCCTTTTTTTTTCCTGAAACTGGACCAGTAGAGAGAGTTTGATTTGGAGACATACAATAAAATAAGCCAGTTTCATCAGCATTAAAAATATTTTCTAAATCATATCTGCTTGTAATTTCTTACAATTTATTTCTCAACAAAGGTAAATTTTCTAAGGGTGCACTATTAGCTTCTCCATGAATTCTTACAGCTTTTAGATTATTTCTTTGTTTGAACCCATGTAACCATCCATTTGAAAACACTAAATCATTTTCATCAATTCCCAATCTTTCACCAAATACTTTTGCTTTTTCTGCAACCACTTTATCTGTAATAACAAGACCTTGAGCACTAACTTGACTAATCCAAAAACTCATAGCCTTTTCTAGATCAGGGAATTTCACTGACTTATGACGAAAAATGTTATAATGAGTTGAAGATGAAATATTTATCCATTTTTCTTTATCAGATAAAAAAATCTTTGTTATATTGTTGACCTGTCAATTGTTAATTGTTTTTTTTTCACTAAAGTAATCTGCTATTTCTTTGTGGGTTTTTTTGTCATTTTCTTGATAATAGACACAAATTTCTTTTTTCAATAATCCACTTATAGCTGTACATTTTTGTTTTTTCTTCTCTTGAAACATAATTAATTAGTACTAAAAATGTTAAATTATTAAAGCAAATATTTGGTCTTTTTATACAAATAAAATCAATATTATATAACAAAAACTTATTCTTTATTTGCAATTTTTAATAAATAATATATGATAAATACATAATAATGACATGATTTTTAAAACAAATTACAATCCTAAGATTTTTAAGCGTAGAGTGTAGTCATGTGATTTTATATATGATCGGCGAGGATAAATAATTCCCGAACCTCTTTTAAATCACTTGCTTCATACACAGCTACACCAAAAACTAGTTTTTGTGAGATGAAAATTAACACAAAATACATTTTCAGCATATATACAATCATATAGTAATAAAAAAATTTTTTATTGTTAGATGGTTATTTCAAAAAAAAACTTGTAAAGTTAGAGACATTTTGCTAATCACTAATAAAACATAAAATTTTCTATAATGTATTAATAAAAATAAATAGAAATAATAAATTTTAAGTGAATAATAACCATATTATTAAATACCAAAAGAAAATTGCCTGTTTTTAATCAAGGTACATGTAAGTGATATTAGTTTTACTCATGTAATTTGGATCATTAAAAACATTTAAAAATAGAATTTTTTGAAAACAACTATATAGATGAGTTGAGGGATGGTAATAGAGGTCAATAACAAGATAGCAATATATCTTTGTCTATTCTACATATACTATTTGTTCTATATATATATACTATTCTTTGGGGAAGTTATATCAAATTTTCTTTTACTTTAAACAAAACGTGGGAGCTTCCAGTAATTTTACTTGGTATTTTGTGAAATAATTAATATAATTAATATAATTAATACATTATTTTTGTAATATAATTAACTAACATCATAATTTATTTATAAATAAGGAACATGAGAAAATATACAGTTCATTGTAAGGTGTGTTTACTAAGATGTTTGTTATAGAGAGAGAAATTAATTAAAAGGGAAGTTCATTATAGAGATTTTACTT